AAAACCAAGTCTCGAAACTTTCAGATTTTCTCCATGCAAACAACAAAAAGTCCCAAAAACAATAAACAAACACAGGAACACCTCTTTTTTTTGGTTTTCCTCTCTTTTCTCGATTCAATCCCCTTGCACCTGCTCGATCAATGCGCAAGCCACTCATTCGCTCTCTGCCCGCCAGCGATCTCGATGAGCGTAACTGGTTTTTCTCTCCGATTTTGTAAGCTTTGTTCTTGAATCAAAACTGTAAGCGAAAAAATAAGCGACATTGTGAGCTTTTTCTATGCACTTTTAGAAGTTTACTTACAAAAATAGCCTCTTCACAGCCGCATCAATTGATCTTTGCTTAAAATCTTCAAGCTTTTGATTCTTAGTTTCTAAACAGAATCAACTTTAATAGTTGATCGTCAAGTTGATCTTTAATATGAATGGTTTGACTATCTTTAACAATTTGAGAACAATTCGACAACAATTCGACAATAGCATCAATCAGTTCATGAACAGAATCAAATTGACTTGCCAAATAAGCTATCGGTCGAAATTGGCTTTGCTAGCAATGTTAAAGTGTTGTAGAAGACTGTTAAATAGTGTTGTTAAAGTGTTGTGTGTCAGTGTTGTGCTCTTTGTTAAAGTGTTGTGTGTCAGTGTTGTGACATGGGTTCTTTCCCGGAGTTCTTTCCCTGAGGCTTGTTAAGTAAGCTGATCTGTTTAACTTGATTGTTTAACTTGATCTAAATGTAAGATCATTATTTCCAACACTTTCGAACACTTGCTCATTTTGTTGTTGTTAAGTAAGCTGATCTGTTTAACTTGATCTAAATGTAAGATCATTATCCATTATCCTCGAACACTTGCTCATTTCCCATATAGTTCCCATTTGTCCGTGAGAACATATCGAGAGAGAGTTGTCATGCTTGAAAGGCAACTCAATGATGAGAAGCTCCCCAGGCCACTCATCACTTAACCCCGTCTTCACCTTCATTCAGCACTTGAGAGACGGATCATGCCCGATCAGTTCTTTTTCGTTTTCTTTTTCTTTTTCCTTTTCTTTTTCCTTTTCTTTTCCCTTTGCTTTTTTTCTTTTGCCATTTGATCTCCTCCATCATACATTCAAATCGCCACCTTTTCTCTTTGAGTGAGCGGCTATGGCCATGACCCACAGGCCATTCATCGACTCCCATAACCCCTTCTATAAGGATCCGCCATTCAATATCTGATGAAAGTGTTGACCTTTTTTCCTAAAGAATTGATTGATTTTGATTATTGGAATATTATAGTTTTATTAAATTTATAGTTTTATTATATTTATAGTTTGGAATATTATTATAGTTTGAAATATTGTTTTTATTTGTCAAGTCTAGTCAAAATTTGAGTCCCTTTTTGCTTTCTATCAGTTAGGATCTTCTTTCATTATCACTTCATATCAGAGCTTTTTCAAAAGCCAAAATCATGGCTAATCAAGCAAAATTGAAGCCAAATTATCTTGTCTTTGACTTGACTTGGCTTGGCTTGGCTTGGCTTGGCATGGCTTGGCTTGGCTTGGCTTGGCTTGGCATGGCTTGGCTTAAAAATTGACTCCAAATTAGACTTGCTTAACGAGACAGATCAAAAAAATCGCGTCACGCAACTCCAAGCGCTTGATCTAGCCTCCAGAGTGTCGAATTTTCAAAAACTTTTTTTATTTAAAAGCCAAGATTTTAAGCTATCTAATGATACCTATCACTTAGACTTTTCTTTGAAAAAGAGACTTCGAAAAAGTGGCTCAAAAAACTTAACGAGACTCAACGAGACAACTCCTTGTTATCTCGTTAATTCTAGTGGATTCTAGTCGATTCTTAAGCAAATCTACTCCAAATCCTAATTCATCGCTACTAAAATGTCTATTCTTACTAAAGATATTCTATTTATCAAATCTATTTACTATTAGATAGACTTGCACTCAAGTTAATGAATGACAATGAGACTTTGCTAAAATCCGCTCGAATGCTGTCTTAAGAGCTGTTCAACAGTTCAACAGTTCAACATATCTCTAACTTCAGTTAGTTTTCTTTCTCTTTTCGAGTTTCAAAGAGTTTGGTTCTAAAAAAGTACAAAAATCTACAATTCTACGATTTACACCTAGTGAAACCACTATGTCACAGATTAGTCATTCAAAAAAACGGCTTTCCCCTTTGGTGAGAGTTTCTAGGTGAAAGCTTGATCGACCTCGAGCCAACACGAGAAAAACACTTGGTGACAGTGAGATCGGGGATCGGAGAAGGGGGTACAGGGTGTCATAGACGCTGGGAAGGGGAAACGGGGTGAATTCAGGGTGGGAGAGGGGTTGGGGTGACTCTGTCACTGACATACTTACACCCTCTTCCAACTCTTTCTTCCTTTCTTTCTTTCTTCCTTTCTTCATCCCCCTGCCCGCTTTTGGATCACGATTCCGCCATCTTTTCGTCCAATCTTTTTGAGCTTTTTTTTTGCAAAGCACTTTTTTCTGAAAGAAGACCGATTTCTTAGATTTGAGATGAGTTTTTGTGCTTGAAATTGATTCGAAAAGAGTCAATGAACAACAAAAATTTGTCCTCTAAAGCTTTGAAAAAAGAAAAAAGAGTTTTGTTTGTGGTTCTAGATAACTTTTTTATAATTTCTTCATTTGAAATTCTTAATTTCGGATCTTGACGGTTAACGGCGAGGGGTAGCGATTATCGGTAGGGCCAATTTTTTGGCCAACTTGCAGCTCATTTTTAAGCACCTTAAACTTGTCAGATCAGGAAGTTTCAATAAGATTTAGATAGCTTAGAACGTCAACTTTCAGAAAATTTTTGTTTCATCAAAAGTTATTAACAAAAACCTATATAGAATCGGGTTGCAAGTTGGTCAAAAACTTGGCCGCCGCCGATAATCGCTACCCCCGCTGTTAAACGTAAAAATCCGAAACTTGAATTTGAAAGTTAATTTTTAAATTGTAAACTTTTGAAATAAAAGATTGAACATAAAAATTCGTCTTCTTCAGCTCTGGCAGAGCAATTTTCGATTGAATTTCGATTGAAATAAGATTTTTGAAATAAGTGATTTGAAAATCATCATTTCTAAAATAAAAGCTGTGTCTATAAGCCAGAATTCTTGCCTAATCTTGAGCTGATACGCTAACAATTGAATAAATCCAGAAAAAAACAACTTAAATCCTACCATTTTCCTTCTAAACTTGGACTAGGAGAGTTGCCTCTTGAATCTCTTTCATGTAAATTGTGAATAAGAATCGCAGTATCGGATTTGAATCGGATTTGGCTCATCAATTTAACATTGAAAATTTTGTGAAAACGAATGCAAATCTTTTGTGAAAATCCCTCAAAATATGGATTCTAATGATCTTTTTTCTTTCTTTTCGCTCAGCTCATTTCTCTCTTTTCCTTCTTTAGCCTTTTCATCTTATTGGTTTCACTCTCGCCACTCTCAAACGGTCAAGAAATGTGCCTAGCCCCGAAAAAGATGCTGAGAAATCCTGCACATTTTCGGGCGCTTGATCCTATCGATTATAACACCTTTTTTTCTTGATTTAATCATTGTTTTCTTGATTTAATCATTGTTTTCTTGATTTAATCATTGTTTTATTGATTTAATCATTATTTTCAGTGATTAATGAATTTTTTTTGATATTGAGCACATCATTTGTTCATTTGATTTTCAAAGAATTATCAATTCATTTCATTTTTTGTTTTGACTTTTAAAAGTTAAGTAACTTGTAGATTCCATCCACATTTTTCTTTGATTCTTTGGTGGAAACTCTTTGGTTCAACATTGATGAAATAAACTCAGTTCTATTACCCTAAAGTCGTGAGTATAAGTTCTGTTTGGTTTTCGCATGCAAATTGACGGCTGTCTCCGGTGCGGTGTGTCGAGGGTTCGAACCCCGCTGCAGCATAACTTTTTTGCTTTTTAAGAACAATAATAGAAGTAAATTTATAGCAAGAGGGTTATAGCAATTTTATGCTGTTATTTGTTGCTCCGGGCGTGGCTCGGCGCGTCCGCCCTGCTCCTCTCCAGTGCTCAGTCTTATGGATCCATCCCTGGCCTCTTCATCCGGCCAAAGTCCACGTCGACGGTCGAAAGAGATGCTTTCCAGCGTCTTCTTCAACACTATCGTCTGTATGTATCCATGCACATAACAAATAGCAATGGTGATAGGCTGTCACCCTGTAGTATCCCGCGCTCCAAGGACAATAATAAAAGTTTATATAACAATAAAAATGTATAAAAACCCAACAAAAAGAAATTCAAAGCAATTAAAGCGAGTGTAAATTAAGGCAGAACTTATACTCGGATGAACTTATACTCGAGACTTTAGGGTACATCAAAAGTCCGAGTGATTTTGCCATTTTGCTATTTTGCCAATTGCCATTTTGCCAATCATTGCCAACACCCAGTATTACCAAACATTATTTGGAAATGCGAAAGTGAATGGTGGTTTCTATTTGTTTTCATTTTCGATTCTATGGTGAGGGGCAATGTTTTGAGGATGGATTGGGAATGGATTGGGGATGAATCGGGGATGAATCGGGGAAGAGAGGAGTGGCCAGTCATTGCCCGAGCAAAGCAAGGCGATGACGCATCCTCCTTCATCTGCTCATTCGATTGTATTGACTACTTGTTCAAAAATTTGTCTTCACTGTACATCAATGCTAAATTTGAGTCATTTCTATTCATTTCCTGCTTTTGATTAGTCATTTCCCTTGTTGTTTTCTTGATTTCATACTTCTTCTCGAGATCTATTAGCTTTTAAATTTGATTCAAATGTTGATAACTTTATTAATTTGATTTGGTTTAATTTATTTAATTTATTTTATTACTTATTTGTTTATTTATTTACTTATTTATTTATTTATTTATTTAGTTATTTATTTAGTTATTTATTTACTTATTTACTTATTTATTTAATCATTTAATCATTGAATTATTTAATTATTCGATTATTTACTTATTTAATTCTTTAACTTGATTCAACTCTATTCCAGATCCCTATGCATTGGGTTTTCTTGATATTGTGCGCCGGATTGGGACGGCCTGTCCTTGGTGAGTGCAACTTTTGTATTTTGAACGTCATCCATATCATCAAACCTTAATTCAGGCCAACTTCTTCAACAATTGCCTTCAATCGAGGTGAAAATCACAGAGAACCCGTTTCCATTGAGTCCTCAACTCCAGCAAATCTCGTGGACTGTGCTCGGCACAAAATCGACTGATGTCGTCTTTTGTGTGTCGAATAATCCAGTGAGTGTTTGCGAGATCAATTGAGATTGAGATTGGGTCGAATTTTTGGATTGAGATGAGAGTTGGGATTGAGACAATTTGATGAGATTGAGACAATTTGGTGGTGGGATCATTTGGATTGAGATTGAGTCAATTTGGGTTGGGATCAATTTAGATTGGGATGTTGGGACATTGAATTTTGATTGATTGATTTCAATTGGTAGCAATTCTCAATTTGAATTGAGATCAATTGAGATTGAGATCAATTTCAATTGGATTTCAATTGTGATTTCAATTGGTAGCAATTCCTCAGGTGAATCAACTCCGTTTTGTTTGCGTCGATTGCCTCCAGAGAAACATCACCGATATGGTCTCCATTCTCAGTCAGGCACAAGATCTCAGCCGAGATGCCGGTTTTCCGGTGAGTCAAAAGTTTTTTGGCATTGATTTTAGCTAAATAATGCGGTAGATTTCAAATCAAATCCTATACCATTGCTGTATTTCTTCAAACAAGCAATTCTTGGATCTGGTTCTTACCAAAGACCTGGTTCTTACCAATTCTTGATAAAGAATTGGTAAGAACCAGGTCTAACTTGTACTTTTTGACCTTTGAAACTAGATTCTTTGAAAATCTCATTACCAAACTAGTTCACTCCTTAGTAAAACAAGCCAGTAAGCCACATGACGGAGCTTTAGCCAGATAATCTTGTTTCTTGAATAAAATAAACAAAGCTCCAAGTCTTCGACCAAATTCAAATCTATTGCTCAAAGAAATTCCATCACCTGTTTAAAGCAATTTTCTCTAGCCTCACAAAAAGAACACCCGCTTTTCATTGAATTCCCGAACACTTTGCGTAATATGGAGACCATCTGGCAACTCTATAGCCACCTTTGTCCTGGATGACCCAAATTTGTCTCTCCAAGAAAATAGAGCAAAAGTTTTTATGGAGATTCAAAAGGGAAAACTGACCGCATTCACCACTTTGTGGCCAGTTTTTCAAAACGGATTTTTGGCGGTCATTTATGCCCGATCGGCATCACTCACTCTTGAGGAATAGGGGAAGGAAAAAACGCCCGATTTGGGGCAACCACTCTGAGAATTAGGATTGGGTGGAAAGGGGGATAAATCTTGAACATATTAAAAGTTTTAGATTAACAATAACAGTGAAGAATTAACAGTGAAATTAACAGATGAAGAATAGTAGAAAATTCAAGCTTAAAAGCTTCAAGCTTCAAGCCTCTAATCATCTCCTATGGTTACTAGACTGAGGCTATGAGCGGCTACGAGCGTCTTCTTATTGTTAGTACCTTGGAGTACCAGTCTTACCCAAATTGTTGTACCATTAGTGCCTTTACTAGGCTGATCTGATACTTTAGTATCCCTTTCCACAAGTACGCAAGGCCTATGGCTGATTCACAAGGCACAAGGCTGATTTAATTTGGATCTGAACGGATTTGATTCAAGATATTATTTCTTACGATTAGCTACTTTTTAGGTAGTAATCTCAGCGCCTAAAAGAGTGCATTTGCGAAACAAAAAAAGCCCCAAGCACATTCATTCAAAAATCTCTGCTGAAGAAACTCAATTACCTTGACCAAAGTTCCCAGATGGACGCGAAGATTTCTCTGGGCTAGCTCTGCGTTTTTGAGCTTCACTTTTTGACTGAACTTATGGTCTTGATATTTAGTATTATCACTCTAAACTAATGTGATTAATGAGCTTTCTAAATATCATATTTGATTACTATCATTTGTTTTGGTATGCTAATGAAGTTCTTGCAAGAGAAGGTCAACTGATTGAGCCAGCTGGTTGAGTCAAATGACATGCAACTTGTACCATTCGACACAGAATTTCACGCTGATTCTGAATCTGCTTTCCGTTTTTGCTAAACGTTATTCTGGCAGGAGTTTTAAGCGTCTAAAGTTTTGTTATAACTCTGGAAATATTGGCTTTTGGGTCTTAGATGTCTAAGCCGTGGTCGAGCGGTAGAGCGTCTGTGTTCGAGACGAAAGACCTCTGGCCTCTTCATTTGTTATTTTGTAGTTTGTCAGTTGTAAAAAAAAATAGTTTTTATTGTTGAGATTACCCAAAAACCAGTAGAGTTCAAAAACAGCAGCAAAATTCTCTCGTGACCCAATTTCCTCTCTCAAAAACAGCCGCTAACCAGCAATGAATTGAGCAGCTATCCAAATATGGATAATAAGAGTTGGTTGTGGGGATCCTAAAATTAGGATCAAATTGGGGTTCATAGGTATTGTGGTAGGGAGGGAGTCCTTTTTTTGACCTTGTCCTCGCAGTTCTTCACCCCCCGCCGCGCTTATTATGGCCTTGGATAAAATTAGTTGTTCGAGCATGTACAAGAATTGGATCGACTTCGGTTTTGTTGGGGCTCTTTTTGAACTACAAGTTTTGGAGATTTTGTTGATTCTAATCAAAACCAAAGTCAAAGCCAGGCTGCTTTTCTGGTCAAAACATTGTTGATGACAAATGCATATTCAATGAAACAGCCTCATTCTAGGCTACATAAAATATGGCATTTATGAGTCATTTTAGTGGCAATTTGTGAAACAGATTTATGAATCCAAGACTGGGATAATAAATCTTTAAGCAACTCTGATTTTAGTCAAAATCCTAATCAAACTCTTTTCAGGATTTACAAATTGGTTTTTCAGATTAGAGGATTTTAAAGATTTGTGATCTTAAAGCTTTAAACATTTCTGATCTTGAGGCTTTAAAGATTTGTGAGCTTGAGGCTTTAAAGATTTGTGAGCTTAAGGCTTTAAAGATTTGTGATCTTGAGGCTTTAAAGATTTGTGATCTTAAAGCTTTAAACATTTCTGATCTTGAGGCTTTAATGATTTGTGATCTTAAAGCTCTAAAGATTTGTGATCTTGAGGCTTTAAAGATTTGTGATCTTAAAGCTTTAAAGATTTGTGTTCTTGAGGCTTTAATGATTTGTGATCTTCAAGCTCTAAAGATTTGTGATCTTACAGCTTTAAAGTTTCCTGATCTTAAAGCTTTAAACATTTGTGGTCTTGAGGCTTTAAAGATTTAAAGCTTTAAAGCTGCTTGTATTAAAGACTTTAAGAATTTGAGTTCGTAAAGTTTTCCTTTTTTCCTTTTAAAGTTTTACGTTTTCAGTCCAAGTCCAAGGCCATAAGAACCCTGTTTTAAAAAGTCTAAGTCGTGAAACGTAAAACTCAAGATTTTAAATCCAACTTTTAAACCTGACCTTCTCAACTAATCGACCTATTCGACCTATTCGACTAACAAATTTAAAGTCTTTCTAGGTGAAAAACCAATTTGTAAATCCTGAAAACAGTTTGATTAGGATTTTGACTGAAATCAGAGTTGCTTAAAGATTTATGATCCCAGTCTTGGATTCATAAATCTGTTTCACAAATTGCCACTAAAATGACTCATAAACGCCATATTTTATGTAGCCTAGAATGAGGCTGTTTGATTGAATATGCATTTGTCATCAACAATGTTTTGACCAGAAAAGCAGCCTGGCTTTGACTTTTGGTTTTGATTAACATCAAGAAAATCTCCAAAACTTGTAAAAAAACAAAAGAAAAACAAAAGAAAAGAAACTTTGTGAATTGATAATGATCGTTCTTTCAAACTTAAAAAAGATAGAAATCTAGAGAATTTCTAGAGCCTAGAAAAGTACAAGGATAGCATGAAACAAGCATAGCATGAAACAAAACAATTCTGAAATCAAAAACATTCAGGTGATCCAACTGAAGAACATCCCAGTGAACACGAATTGGACTGGTGCCACCGTTTTGTGCCAAGCCAACTACAATGGTCAACCCGTCGACTCGTCGCCGGCTGTTGTTGATGTGAAATTTCTCCGACAACCGCATGTCGTTGACTCAAACGGGCAATCACCTGTGCAATTGCAGAATAATGGAAACAGGTGAGTGTTTTAAAAAGAGAAAGAAAGAGGGAGATCAATGCGGCGGCTATCGCTCTGAGGGTCAAGGGTTCGATTCCGGCTCGCGACAAAATTTTTGACTTTTTTTTTGCAAAATTCTCAAAAATAAGTTTCTAAGGGTAATTTAATGCGCTGAGTACGAATAACGTGTTTTAGCCTATGTTATCAAACAAGAAACTATCGAAACGCAATTTCGGCACTTTTTGGGCGTGACTGGGCTCACTGAAACGCCTGTAAAAGGCTCAAAATTAAATGAATTCAAAAATTGTTTTGACCATCCTATTCGTCTTGGATTCAGCTTTCTAATGACCGATGATACGTTGGAATTGGTTGAGTTTGAGACGCTCTCTCAAAAAAACGGACAACCCAATAATAACTAGAGGTTCCGTCTTCTTTTAAGCCTTGCCTACATGCAATGAATGTATCTTGCTGACATGCAATGCACAGGTAGATTAGCTAGAGCTAGAGCACTTGACATCTAGTAAATTAGTATTTCATTTCTAGTAAATTAACTAAAGCATTTCCCTTCCAGATTCTACGTCGAATGTCAAAAGGATGAAAACGGATTGTGTCAAGGAGCCGGACGGAGAAAGACGCTTCGTTGCAATGTCCAGTCCAATCCTCCAGCATCCACCTATAGATGGCTGAAGAACGGGGTTGTCATGAGGTGAAAACAGACTTGAAATCATAATCTTTTCATTTAGCGGTGGTGGAGCGGAGATCACGATCGGCACCGAGATGATCGGCCACTCAATTCAGTGCTCGGCGAACAACGGCCTGTACATTGACAACGAAATGCCCATTAGTCAAGCCGTTCAAATTGAGGCTTACTGTAAGTGATTGTAGATTAATCTTTAAAAGAGTCGTACCAATCAACCCTTTTAGCTGCTGCACTTGTCTTCCAAGACAACTTTGGCAACTTGGAGAAGAGTGGAAACATGCCTGGTGGAAGAGTTCAAATTGATCAACCGGTAAGATTTAGCAGAATATAAGCTGGGTTTAGTCTTTAGCTTTATATATTGATCTTTGTAGAGGAATCTGACAAGGAAGCTGCCACTTAAATGATAGGATTATCAAGCTCTGGCTTTACAAACTGAATTTGGCTGTTCAGAAAGTCTTTTCATTTCTTTTCATACTTCCGTTTAAAACCAACAAATGTATCAATTGAACTTTGGCTTGTTTCATTAGAAAGGCCAATTATTTCTCTACAAAATAACATTAAAAAGGGGTTTAAAATGTCTTATGTCTGAATACTTTTGAGAGCGTAAAGTCGCGTAGTCAAAAAGAGCGACGGTTCGATAATGCGGAGCTTTTAGCTTTAGAAAAGACACACTTTAGCTAAGAAAACCTATTTTGGTGTCAATAGATAAAAGATAATGCACAAAGAGTTAGGTATATAGCAAAATTTTCAGCGAAACTGATTCAACCAATTTCTTTGTAGAGCTTTTTGATGAAATTTTACGAAAAGCTAGCTTTTGCACTCGAATTTACTTGAAAACAGACCCAAATCGGCTTGAAATGATAGAAAAGTGAATGCTAAACATTTTCTATTTAGAGCAAACCGTAGGTCTTTGGTGAATTTGTGAATTTGTGATTGATAAACGCTAGTAGAACAAAGTGTTACCAAGACTTATGCGCCATCCTGATAGCTTTTCTATAGATCTATAGATCTTTGATATCATATAAATTTATAAGCACATATATAAGCACAAAGAGTTAGGTAAATCATCAAATTGTCAGCGAAATTGATTCAGCCAATTTCTTTGTAGAGGTTTTTATAGAAAAACACATCTCTTTCACACTCGAAAACACGTTTACGCTCGAATTTGCTTGAAAGTGAACCAGAATTGACTTAAAAAGATGAAAATTGAACAAGAAACACTTTTTATTTAGAGCAAACCATTGATGAATTGGTTATTTTTCAACGGAAGCATGAAAGGAATGAAAAAACTTTCTGAATAGCCTAATAAAAGCTTTACAAGCGCACCAGAGCTTTAAAAAGTAGCCTATCTTGGAGAAAAGATTCACAGCTTTTAAATGATATATGTACAATAAACATAGGTCCATTCCATTTTAACATTTTCATTTGAAAACCAATAAAAACCCGGCTTGGAGTTGATAAGATCCAAAAAAGAGAAGTAGCAAAGGAATCAATTGAATTATTTTTAAGAACAAAGCTGGCTAATCAATAGTATTCAATTTGGGTTGTCCAGTTATGAATGCGCGTTTTTCTATTTTATTTCCCAAGATACCGAAAAAGAAGGAATTATTTTGAAAATATAACAATTTCAGAGATTTTTCTTTTTTTTTGGGTAATTTTACACCATCAAAGGAGGGAAGGAAGGGGGAGGGGTTTTTTTTTTTTTTTAGAAATTTAAAAAAAAGATATTGGACACCTAGAAAACAAATCCCAAATCAATGAAGAAAAGAGAACGAGGAAAATGGTAGCAGAAAGGGTGTCTATTGGTGAGGAATGGGTGTCTATTGGTGAGGAAACTAAAGCTTTAAGCTTTACAAAACAAAGAAACTTCAGTTCTCTAGAATCATTGCTTCAGTTTTTCAGTTCTAAAGAAACAATTCTCAATCAAATACAGGTTAATCTTCAATGTGGAGTTCGCGGAAATCCCCGACCGATCGTTTATTGGCGATTGAGAAAGATGAATGGCCAAGTTGTTGATGCCCCGTGTCCTCAAGGCTTTGATGGTCAATACCAAGAACTCGGACAACAAAATCGACAAGGAGGACAACAAATGAGCAATGTTGTGGTATGTTAAAGCCTTTTTTATGAAACTTTTAGAAGTCTAGAATCCTTTTGAAGCTGCCGCAATGACTGGACAAGTAAAGATTGATTGTATCGAAAATAACAGAATACCAGAACTACTTTAACGAACTACTTTAACTACCAGAACATTCAAAAACCAACAAATCAACCAACCAACATGATAAAAAGCTAAAAACTTAGAACTAGAAAGTTCAGGATTGAATTCAACTCTTTTAGACCTTGAATGCAGTTTGCTCGTTTCGAGTCGCTAACTACTCGTTCGCTGGGCAATACTGGTGCTCGGCTTGCTCACATGTTTCCCAGGGTGCTCCAGAGTGTTCGCCTTCGTTAGACACTCCTGGTTCGTCGTCGCTCACTCTTCAAGTACAAGGACCGCCAATGCAATCCGATGCACCACCAACTATTGAACAGGTAAACAACAAAAATAGTCAAAAACCATTTCAATATAGTGATTTTTTCAATAGAAAAGCTCAAAACTAGTGCGGAGTTTATGAGATTTACTAGTACTAGAGTCGTTGATACTAGTCCTGGCTAACTATTATCAGTTGTAGCTAACTGTTGTAAGAATCTTTGTGCCAGTTGTAACTTGCGTTAAATACATTCAATTTTGTTACTTTAAAAACTATTTTTGTTGCATTTTTTGTGAACTTTCTGAATGTCTACTTGATTTTATTTGATATTTGATCTTAATGGGTGTTCCAAGAAAAAGAGCAAGACAAAAAAAAAGATCAAATATCAAATAAAATCAAGTAGACATTCAGAAAGTTCACAAAAAATGCAACAAAAATAGTTTTTAAAGTAACAAAATTGAATGTATTTAACGCAAGTTACATCGAGTTAAAGTTGCCGGAAGGTGATTGTTCCAAACTTTTGGACCCTACTGTAGATGTAATTCAATAATTACATCTAACTTTATGAGCCATTAAATCTAACAGAGTAACAGAATCACCAAAGACAATGATTTTAAAAACTGTTACTATTTGAATAGAAGATCCAACTCAAGTACCAGGTTGAGGAGGTCTACAATGTCAGGTTCATTGAAATAGTAACAGTTTTGACAAACTGTGCTAGACTCCGGTACTAGACTTCTGGCATAGCCTAACCAGAGAACCCTTTGAAGTTACATTTCAGGAGCGATCTGATTCCGAGTTGGTTAAGAGGTTAAGAGTTAAGAGACCTCTTGGTTAAGAGCATCCCAAAACTGCTTTCAAATCTTGCTTATCATAAGCCGTTTTCCGGATATAAGCCTTCAAAGTTTCGACCAATTTCACCAAAGAGCAAGCTAGCCTACTTAAGACCAACAGCAAGCTAGTCTACTTAAGGCGTTTGCCGGGTCAATTGGTGAGCCTCAGTAGCCTAGTGAATAGTGCGCTAGCACTTTTAATTCTTTGTCCCTGGTTTAGATCCGCTGTCGATCAGACTTTTTGTTTTTTTTTAGAAAAACACTCGAAAACTACTTTTTTGATCAGTAATCTCTTACATAATGTTAACTTGTTGTAAAAAGGCCTCGAATTTTGAATAATCGACCCTACAGCCTTTTTTGGGGTACCTCGAACAAGCCTATTCACTGTCAGATCTCTCTCGGAATCAGATCGCTTCTGAAATGTAATTTCAATTCCCTTTCTTCAGTTCCCTGGAAGCACTAGATTCTAGATATTGCACTAGACTCAAAAACTTGATATCAAACCAAAGATCACATCTAAATTCCGTTCAGGCTCCTGGCAGCAACAACGCTGTGGTCACCGTCCATTACTGTGCCGACCCAGCTCCCAATCCACCCCGAGACATCGTCTTCCAAGTTGATCAACACGATCTACAGGTATTTAACTCAGTTCTACAGTTCAAAAGCTCAGCCTATACCCTATTCAGGTTTCGCAAAGCTTCGAGAACTTCCGCTTCGACACGTTCAGTCAAAACAGCACCGTTGGAAATTGCTACATGGCTCGTTTGGGCATCAACCGTGTCACCGAAGCCGATCAATACCGAACGATTTTCCTCAAAGTTCAGAATATGAAAGGAGCAAGACAGTGGGTTTTCTCAGAGCTAAGCTCTCAGAGCCTTTTCTAAATCCAGATCTAAATCCAGATCTAAATCCAGATCTAAATTCAGATCTAATTTCTCAGATCACTTGATCTGTACCAACTTTTACAATTTAAGTACCCAAGCTTTTCAACCTTGAACCCAATTTTTTTCAGAAACAAAGAGCTCAAGTAAGTCCCAGCGGTTTTGTTTCACAATTTTTGCATTTTGAAAGCTCTCTGCAAGTCCCGAGCGCATGAATTCTCAAACTATTTCTTAATTCTGAATGTTTCATTTTTAATTTTCCAATCTTTTGAGTCCAAACCCGGAATGTGTGCTAGATTTTTGCAATTATTTCGATTTTTTTTATAATCATTTCGATCCCTGAATCATTTTATTAACATTTTGAAACAACTAACAGATTTTCGTTTATTTCACTTTTAATTGAAATCTTTAGAATCCCCGTTCCATTGGAGTCGTTGTTGGGCGGAGGATCGACGTCGAGTGGGAAAATCTCGGGTGCTTGGATCGCTTTCATCGTGCTCTTGGCGCTGTGCGTTGTTTTGGCGGCGCTGATCACGATTTGTGTCAAGAAACAAATGTTCTGCTTTAACAGTAAGTTCTTGAACAGTACTTTAACGGTATTTTAACGGTACTTTAACAGTACTTTAACAGTACTTTAACAGTACTTGAACAGTATTTTAACAATACTTGAACAGTACTTGAACAGTACTTTAACAGTACTTTAACAGTACTTTAACACTACTTTAACACTACTTTAACAGTACAGCGAGCACGGGAAACTGAAAAGCATCATTTTCTTCGACTTTTATTAGTCTGATCGCATCGTTCTTCCAGTTTGATTCTTACTTCGTAACACAATGGTTTTGACGGGACAATTTGTAGCAGAAACGGGACAATTACAGGGCATTTAAAGAACAATTCGTAGCAGAAATACAGCCAAATTTGGGGTCAAAATTTTTTGTAGTCTCAGCCTCAACCCATAAAAGGACCTAGAAACTAAATGATTCATTTTCAGGAACGAAAGACGAAGATGATCTCTACACACACACCAAACCCAAAAAGTGAGCTATCTTCAGAAATTTTGATAAATCTTTAAATCTTTAGTGAAAAAACGCTAGTTAGTTAGAGTTTTAGTAAAATCTAGAATCTGGTGCATAGTCTGTCCAATGTTGGAAGCACAAGCTCTTACAACAGTTAGCCAGAACTAATAGTACTAGTATCAACAACACTAGTACTAGTATCAACGACATTAGTACTAGTATCAACGACACTAGTACTCAACGACTTACGTCCAAACTAAATTTTTTACTACCTAAATTAGCTTTTTCCACACGTAACTTCACTTTAAGAATCTATAAATCTTGCTTTACAAAATGACACCAAAATCATCAAAATCGATTGACTAGTTTTGAAGATAGAGACATGAAAAGTTGCGCGGTTAAGGGTTTAGTTCAGATTGATGTAGCATATTTAAAATGAGAAGCAAAGGCAGGAAAACAACTGTTACCAGTTACATTTGTTAGTTAAGTTACCTTAAGCTTTGCTAGTTAAAGCTTTGTTAGAAATACGGCAAAATTCACTAGTAAAACTACCTCAAAACAGCTTGTCATCGTCACATTTTCAGCCTCGCGCCCAACATGCACAACAGTTTCGACGAGCCTCGACTCTTCGCCCCGAGTCCCGCTGAGGTATCCGAGGCTGCCGGCTACGGGGTCTATCTGAGTCGAGAAGCTGTTGTATAAGCACAATTTTCCAAACAAACCTCAGCATGTTCACAAAATCTTTCATCTTTTTCTCCCCAAATCTCCTTCTAACTGTCAATGCCTCATTTCGTTTGTGGTCAATTTCCCCAATGGTGTGTCGTCAACCCTTCTCCCCGAATCTCCTGGCCTTAACATGTGAGTGAATGGGTTTTACCGTATTTACCGTATTCTCTCTAAAAGTAGTGCACTCTCAGCACTCGAAATCTCGAAAACCGAAATTGTTCGAGATCTCGAGAACCGCTTATCAGAACCTATCGATGTTGGGTCGGAAAATGTAGCTGACGATGAGATCTTGTGGGTGATTAGAGCGTTCAGCTTCTGCAAAAACTTGGAAACCGTAAACTAGTCACCAACTCGGCTTGCCAGGCTGCGCTACTATTAGAGAAAATACGGTATTTGCATTTCAAGGACAAGCGTCTGCAGAAGAATCGAAACTTACATTTTTTGGAGTTTTGCTTTTCTTACTGAGTTCAAAATATGCATGCATGGGTGAGCAGCCCGCTTTGAACCTATCCATAAGTTGAGCTTAAGTTCAGGAACATTTAAACGTTGTTAATGTGAATCTTGTTATGAAACTTTTTTCAGGTGCGAAAATCTCCAAGTTTCCACGAGGGTTTAAATTATGCGGAGATGAGGCTGACAGACTCGATGGAGAGACCACCACTGCCAATCGGGAGACGATCAGCGATGAGCTCTGTTGTCTAAATGATAGTTGAGAGAGTACTGTAACTGATTCAATAGGAAAATTGAATTGGGATAGAATTGGTTTTTTAAAAGGTTTAAACCTTGAAAAAACAGCCTTACTACTTTGCTACTTTGCGCCAATTTTTTTTGCACAACTGAATCTTTCGCACAACTCACCATAACTTTTTTCTAAGTAGACCAATCTTTATGATTTTGGTGTCATTTTGTAGATCTTAACAAGGGCAACAAAATGATACCAAAATCATAAAGATTGGTCTACTTAGAAAAAAGATCCAAATTTGACGCAAAGTAGCTACCCACCTTACTTTGGGAGGGTAGCTACTTTGCTACTGATTCATTAAAGTGCTTTTTCTAAAAAGTATCCATTTTCAAAAGCTACTGTAGCCTTTATTTATGAGATTTATCTAATGTATTTATGTAGTTATTGAAAAGTACTAAGTTGGATAGAAACTAGTGACAGGATTAGGGTAATCTTTGAAAATCGACACGAAAAGCCTTACTTGAGCCTTCTGTTTAGGCCTTCTGTTTAACGATTCAGAGCCATTTTGTAGAAGAGTTAAAGAAAAAAGTAACCATTCCAGTTACAGTACTCTTCAGTTATTTCTTTAAAGTAGATCTAGTTCAAACATTTCCTCAACATTGACCAACTCTCAATCCTTCAGCCATTTTCTAACTTCAACTCACTTTCCACTATTCTCTGCCATTCTCATTCTCAATTAGGCTTTTTTTCTCGATATTTACTTTGTGCTTAAAATGTAAATACACCTTTTCTTCTGCACAGAATCTTGATTTTTCTTTTTTTGCGAAAGCTCGACAAAAAGTTGAGTAGAAATGGTGTGTTTTGAATTTAAAGTACTCCTGAGCAAAAGCCAATACAAAGCTCAATTTCTTCACGAAATTCCTTCACGAAATTCCCTCAAGTACCTACTTAAAGAAACTTAAAGAAAAGCCCATTTCAATGCTCTTATCCTATTTGCATTTCGCTTTTTTTTCGTTTTGTTGTTTGTATTTGCAAATTTCCAATTCTCCGCAGGTTTCTCCTCACTTTTTTAAACTCTCCGCTATGGAAAAAATGGGTATTTGTGTGCGCAAAACACGAATTTTTTCTCGTTGTTTTACTCGTTTTTTAACAGAAAAACTTTTGTGCTTTCAGTTTTTGTATTTTACATTTTTTTTATGCAAAAGATTACGATTTAAATCGTAACCTTTGACGATCTGTGATCAAATTTCGCCCCTCATCTTGTGTTTTTCACTTTAAGTTAAGAAAGAAAGTCACCTTAAAATTCCTTTTTTTCATCAATTATCCAAAATTGACAAAACGATGCCTTATTAAAGTTTAAAGAAACTTGAAAGTGTTTAGAAAATTTCAGTTTTCAAATTTTGGTGTGATTCAAATCAGGGAGGGGAACAGTGGGCGGGGTCATGAAAGACTTGTATCTATAGATATCTATAGGTATCTATAGATATCTATAGGTAACCAAGTCTCTTTGAAGCCAGCCTAAAAGTCAAATCAGAAGCCAGGAATTGAAGGGAGATCTTTGGGTCGGAAAACTTGCATCTATAGGTAACCAAGTGTCTTTGAAGCTAGCTTAAAAGTCAAATCAGAAGCCAGGAATTGAAGGGGGATCTTTGGGTCGGAAAACTTGTATCTATAGGTATCTATAGGTAACCAAGTGTCTTTGAAGCTAGCTTAAAAGTCAAATCAGAATCCAGGAATTGAAGGGAGATCTTTGGGATGAACCCTTTTATCAAGTTCTGTAGAAGGGGCAGAATAATGATGAGAATTTGATGTATATTTTTGGGGAAGAGGTTGCTAAGCGTTACCCCACTTTCTTGGTTTGTTAGCTTATTTTCATTTGTTTTCCTTCTTGTTATTAAATGAAAGTTAGTAAAAAAGTAGTGAAAGCATGTGAAAATCATTTGCTAAAACTATTTTTATTGGATTCAGCGTGCCCGATTACCTACAAATGCAATTTTTCATGGATAAATCCAAGCTTTCCGAGGCCCCGTCTAGAGGCTCTGCCCAGAGGCCCCAACCAGAGGCCCCGTCTAGAGGCCCGTCTAGAGGCCCCACTGCCCTCCGCCCCTGATTGTGATATCACCCAAATTTTTCTTTGAACTTTCTCCAATTTTATCCGATCTCCCTCGTTTTTACTATTGAAAAATCGAAAAATCGAAAACTTTCACTGTTTTTTTTTATTTGATTCACGCAATGATTGTTTTTATGTTATGCATAATGAAAAATAAAAATTATTGAAAAGTTTACTTCCGGAAAAATGGCAATTTTAGTTTCCACAGTCACGCGCAGTTTTTTTTTTCACTTGAGCCATTCCAGTCTTTCTCGGAAAGATCTCTCCGATGATAAAAGAACGAGAAATTGAATAATGATAATCTTATGTAAAAAAAAGGGTTTTATTGCTCAACCTGGGTTACGTTTAATATTTAAACTAAAATCTTTCCTATGTTCGATGTCAGCTTATATTATTCTATGAAACTTGTCTCATCGTTCTCTACAATAAAACAGTTTCAACTTTTGAACTCAAAATCTTTCCTTATCTGATTGTTTTTTCTAGTTTTCGTTGATTTTCTTGGATTTTGAAACTATAGGTAGAGTTTTATTGATTTTACTAAAGCTGTATTGATTTAAAAAACGAGGACAAAACGTTCTAACAGACTTTTAAAACTTTTGATCCCGTGTTCGATTGCTCTTTTGACTGTGGCGAATAGCCACTAAAAAGTTAATTAACTCTGACAGCCTAAAAATTGGAAAAGTATTGCGGAAATTCGTGCGCCTTCATTCTATTTCGCGCCCCAAATCATTTATTGTTTTGTAGCTTTTTAGCTGAATATCTTGTGTTAAAGCCTATATAAGGGAAATGTTGTTCATTTGATTTTTTTTGCTTTTACTTTTTTCTGCTTTCCTTTCATCGTGTGGAAGTTGTGTCCTAATTAGGACGAAATTGTTTCTGTTTTTATCGTCGCTTTTAATTCAATTGTCGATTTTGTGTGAAATTGCTCAAGTGAGAGCCTATAAGAAATATATTTATACTTTGATCTTTATAATTTCTTGTGAGACCGTGTCTCGGTGTGGTTCAATGGTAGATGTCTTGAAAACGCACAATAGAGAAAAGGAACCAAATTTGTAGAGAAAAGAAACCAAATCTGTAGAGAAAAGGAACCAAATCTTTATCAAAACTTTCCCTTATTTGGGGAAACTTCGCTCAAACTCGAGCAAACTGGTACTATCACAATTACTTTAACACTTGCGCACTTCAGCAGTGGCAACTCGCCACAGAGCCCAAAAATTCCGAGTCAGTCGGCTATTGAATAGTGTCTTAGTTCAAGTGAGATCAGTTATCTCGAAACAAGAAATAACGTGTCTTGAGTGAAGAGTACCAAGCACGCAAAGAATATTTCTTTACATTGACCAAACTTCTTTGCTTTTTTACACAGAAGCTTTTTGTTACTTTTTTTGAGTGTTTTAAATGCCAGAAAAACTTTATAATACATAGAAGTTCACATGGTGATCAATTTTAGATGCAATTATTGGCGCATCTGCAATAACTATTGTTTTTGCTTTTGGCAACAATGCTGGCGTAATGCAATTGCAAGTTAGATGTAGTTGTTAGATGTTAGAGTTAGATGTTTCTCAAATCCGAACTTTTAAGCTATTTATTAAACGTTTTCATTCTTTTGTAGTTGCTAATTCAATTCACTTTTCTTTGCACAATCTTTTGATAATGTTTTGAAAGTTCTTTCTATTGTTTACGAGCAGTTTGCTGATTACTTTCTTGACTTCCGAGCTTATTCGGCTTTATGGCCTGTCCACCGCCCAGCATTTGAGACTTCTCTTGAATTTTGTTTAAATATTGGTGCGTGTGCTTGTGAGAAAGACGATTGTCCAGAGATTGTCTTCATCAAATGTATGAAATGTTAATAAAAACAACTTTAAATAAAAGACAACCGAAACTCCAACTATAAAAATACATTTTCGTTCACTTTACGATTTTAAAGCTGTGTCATAACTATAGACGCATCTTTCAAAAACCACTTTCTCACAGTGCCAGCACTTTTATAACAATTCAGTGATTCTAATTCCAAATTCGAAAACCGTTTTCGAATCGGTTCAACCAATTTCGAGTTCTGGAGGGATCACTTTTACACGGGAAACAGGTTTTTTGAGACTATAACTTTTTGCTTTGAAGAGCTATCGAAAATCTGATTACAGATTCTCAATTTCCATGAAACATGCTACCAAAAATGAAATAGGGTCTGGTAGGTTTTATTGCGGATTTAAGGTTAAACGTGGCGGTTTTGGTACTCGCTCGGATTTCGACTCTTTTTCAATGGAAAACATTAAGGGTTTGAGTCAAAATTGGATCCGCGCGCAAAAATCCCCCGTTTGGCCCTTAAATCCGCAATCAAAAATTGCCCTTGGTCCCAATAAAAGCCCGAAGAGAATCGAATTGGCTTTGGGTTTTGCATATGATAGCTTTTCACAATGAAAAGACGAGAAGAACCGAATTTCTCCGCTGTTATGCAAAACCTGGCCTATGCTGGTAAATAACTATCATTTAGTTAAAGTTTGTCAAAGTTTGTCAAAGTTGAACTTGTTTTCTCCAGCATCTAGGTCCCAAGTAGTCTCCCGGAGTATGATCCTGGCAAATAGCCAACAGGGCCTTTCAATGGGTTTCCACAGATCAATATTCTCACAGAGAGACAGCTGAATGTGAAGAGAGAACATAATTCTCTGTTTCTCTTTGAAAGAGGCAAGGATCCGAGTGAACCATTGGGAAAAAGAAGATGAAAAGAGGGAAAGGAAAAGGGGAAAAGAGGCCTCTTCTCGCCCCGCTGAGCCGACTACTTTGTCCATCTGATGCTCCGCTCGAAAACTTTTTCCTTTTTCCATCTATTCCTAACAAAACATTTTTCCCTCAATATCCCGAGATCAGTTGGAAAATTCGATTTCTCTTCTCGTTTTTGCGATATTCATCCATGAAGCCTTTTGCGATGATTTCAAAAAGTTGAAAACAGACATAAATCGATCATTCTTTCCTATAAATTTTGGGGGACAAATGCGCCCCGACATTCCCCGAAAGGCCGGAAGGCCGAGAGCCGAAAATCAAAGGAGGATGTGTAGATCAGAATTAGACAAACAGACCCGCGAAAGGCAACAAACGTTGATGTCGAGACGCATGCGATCTTAAAGCCTACGGCCGCAAGCCAGAGTCCCCGCTTTTAGACTTATTCATCCTTAAATTTGAAACCTTAAAGCTTTAAAACCTTTCCTTACCTGATCATTTTTTTGTAGTGTTCGTCCATTTTCTTATATTGAATTTACAGTTTGTTAGCTAGATTCAATTGTACATCGAACTTTAGTGAACTTGTTAATTTAAATCGTATGCTAATCTATTCCTTAATAATTGTTTTTCTATTTACTTTTTAAATGATATTTTACTTTTTTAGGTCCTTCCCAGGCTAACTCTGTATTTGACGTCAATTCGTGCATGAACCCAAGCCTCGATCTCGACCTCAGCCGCATGCAAACACTGCTGAAATGGATCGTTTATGATGTGGCAGAGTCGAATTTCGCCTCCGGATTCATCAATATCTTCGTGGCTACTTTGGTGAGGGTATTTGTTAGAAGTTGATTTATGTGACTACAATGCTGAGAACTAACTTTTTAAACGAGATTCATAGAGAAAGCGTCAATAAGAGAGTCAATAAACTAATGAAAGCCCCCTATAGGAGCGTCGCATAGTCTAAATGTAGTCGTCGCCTCCTCTCTCAAACAAACACTCATATCTCAACACCAGTACGTTTGTTTCTGTGCGCTTAGGTATCAAATTAAGGTAGAAAGAATGAGTGTTGTTTTGAGGTATAACACATATTTTTAGCATTAACCAGTGCTTAGAAAAATGTTTGAAGAGTGGCAAAAAAAGCCGATTTTTCATCATTTTTCAATCATTTTATTTTAAGCGCTGGTTAATGCTAGAAATATGTGTTATATCTAAAAAATCACCCATTTTCTACTAGAATATCTACACTATATAAAAAGTTGAGTGTACCAGAAATGTGTTTTGAATTCAAAGTACTTCCGGTTATAGTCAACCCCAGCCATCGAAGGTTTTGCAAGCTTTGGTTTTTTAGAAAAATTAGGGCTATTTTAGAATTCTAGACTCAAGAATTGCCTGAAATTACTACTTTAAACTGTTATTTTCAATACAATCAACTTTCAGTCGATCTCGGCTCTGATCAGCAGCGATTGGGTGTTGATCGAAGATGTGACGAACTCCACCGCCATCGAACCTTTCTATGATTTCCCCGGTGCAGAGAGATGTGAACGGCTAGGTAAACTGTTAGATTGATTCAAGATTTACATAACAATTTACAGGTACTCGTGACTTTTGGAGCATCTCCTCGTTCGGCGGATACGTGGAGAGCAATGGAAAGAAGCACACCGCCTACCGGACGGAGGATCGAGTTCTTTGGGATTGTGTCACTCCACTAGTTGCTGATTTGTTTTGTAAGTAGTTGCGTTAAAACTCTTTGCTGATACTTATTCAGTTATTGTTGAAAAACACGATTTTACTTGAATTTTAGATCTTCTCATCGCTCTTTGTTTTGTCGTTTCACTGACCGCACTCTGTGGTGCCCTACTTCACGTGCTTGCTCCACCACACGGCTTCCTCGTCTGGTTGAGAAGGAATACGATCATGGAAATGTGCAATAGTGAGTTTATTGCTCCCTTAGCAATGTCAATTGCTCGTTAAGTTGTACAGGGTCGCCCATAATATTTGTTGCGCCTTATATGAAGGCAGATTAAGTCGAAAATGTGTCAGATTACTTCAAGTTTTTTAAAATTTTATTTTTATAACATTTTTTACACTTATCTTCCAATTTTTAGTCCGATCGGTCGGCTATAAAAAAAGTTAGGGTTATTAGAAGATCCGTAAATAAAAGCGTTTGGTACGGTGTATATTGTCTTATGAAATCGTGCTTAAAATGCTTCAAATTATCAAAACTCTTCCTCAAATCATGTTTTTTACTTTCCCTATATTAAGGTCATAAACAAATTTTTGTTTGAACTCATAAAATCAAATTTTAATTGCTTTAATTGTCGCCATGTTGAAAACGAGATGAAATTAGCTTATTTTGGGTGTTTTAGAGGATTCCAAAACTAAGATTAAGCCACAAGCTTAAAGCAAAAAGTGATAATTTTAATTTTATTAACCTTTTTAAAGCACCAATAACTAATTGCAATCACTGAAAAGTTCAATGTCTTCATTTTAATCACCTGTCTTTATGAACAAAAGCATCGCTGTGTCAGATACTTTATTTACGGAGCTTCCAATGGCCCTAATTTTTCTTATAGCCGACCGATTGGGCTAAAAAGTGAAATATAATTGGAAAAATGTTATAAACATGAAATTATAACAAACTTGAAGTAATAGGACTTGAGTTGAGCCCAAGATTCTTGACTAGTCAATTGTCAAGAAACCCAAAGATCGTATCGTTAGCAAAAGCCATTGTATTGTACATCAAATATTTCAGTGATGCTGTGCCTGGCCGCTTGTGCCGTTGCAATCGTCGCTGAAACAACAGTGGCCGGGCTGAGACCCGAGTCGAGTGTCTCTGTCGGATCTGGCCTTTTCCTGCTCACCCTTGCCGGTCTTCTCTCTTTTCTCTCAGCTCTGATGAGTCTCAGACACTTGTAAGAATCCCTTAACACACAATTTCACTAATAATTTTAGCTCTCGCATACAAAGAGCTCGCCGAATCGACAATCAGCGGCTATTGTGTGCTCGATCGCTTCGCTCATGGAGAGACACCGGGAGAAGAGCTGACGACACACGGCCGATCGTCGATTTTGAGAGGTAAATTTGAAAAAATGCATTTCTAACACTCTTTAAAAGGCTGAAAAACGTCAGTTATTCAGATTTCCTCAATCAGAATCTCTAAGTCACAGCTAAAACATTGAAAGATGTTATTCCGAGGCTTAACACCTGAAATTTTGTCAAAAACCGAGTAATAAATAGTTGTCAGTGAGAATTCCATTGTTCTTAACTTCAATAAACCTTTAGTACTTGGTGTCAATCCAAAATTTTGTCTAATTGGAAAATCACAACCATTTCAGATACCTTGACTCGTCGACCACCACTCTTGAGGAGCTCGACCCGATCCCGAAACCCATCGAAACAATCTAGGCTCAATTTTTATTTAAACTATTTACCCAGTAATGTTCCAAACCTAGATTGTCGAAATTAATCAGAAGATTGGCTTAAAAGCCGATGAACCTATTTGGAAAATTCTCGATCTTGTCAACTCAAATTCCAACTTACTAGTCCTTATCCCAATTTGTACCAAAAAATTCTAGTCGCTCCCGTTGATAGCCTTAACTTTTCTGTGTTTTAATCGATATTTTCTCGTTCTGGTCACCCCCTCAACGTTTGTTTTGAAGCAGTATTTTGAGTGAGGGCTTTTTCAGGGCATTTCTTTGTCAACCTTTCAAGACTTACGCTCTTCTTTGATAGCTTATCAGTTGAATTTGATGAAAAAAAACAAAAAAATATTGAGGAACCTTACAAGGAAAATTACAATGATAAGTTAGTAAGGCATAAGGCCCTACCTTCGTGGTAATGGGATACGTTCCGGTGTAGCTCATTGGTAGAGCGTTCGCCCGGTAAGCGGGTTCGAAACCCGGCCCCGATAATCAAAACCAGCTTTTAATCTAAATTTGCACAAAGTGGTAGCAATTTACCAAATTTATTGCAATGAGTTAGAGAAAAGATTCATTGTTGAAAAAACTAGCTCAATAATTCAAAACCAGTATTATACAAAGTAGTTAAGATTTTAGCAAGCACATGGCTACGCTTTAGTGCCATTTGGTTTATGACTCATTCAAGAAAAATCAGTTTATGGTTGTATGTAAACAGAAAAGTATCCCGAAATTGATTTCTCAAGAAAAATCTCATACTAATTCTTACATCAAATTCACTTGCATTCAATTCTTACACCGAATTCAACTGATAAGTCAACATTAAACTCTCTTTTTTCATTCTGTTGAAGTCAACTCTTTCATCATTGTCTCTACTGCTTAATTTTGGCCCTGTTAACCATTAGCCCAAATTTTCTTCATACAGGTTGTCGGAAAATACTTGAAAAGGAATCAAATTTGAAATGTTTTGTTTTGTCTCTGAAAATTTTTAGAACAACTTGTGATCTCTAGTCTTGTCTTTGTGCTTTGTAAATGAAGCTTTTGATAATGAAGAAGAATGTATAAGGAAAGAAAACGAAAACGGCAAACTTTGTCTTGTGAATTTTAGAAAGGCAGACGAATTAGAATTAGATATTTTTAGCGAACTTCCGGTTGGCGCTATTTTTAGAGTCAAGATTAATAGCGTAAATTTGGGAAAGACTTGTGACGTGAAAGCAATGTGGTTTTCATGGCACTCTTTCGTCAAACCCTTTTAGAATTTTCGTTCTCTGCTTATCAGTTGAATGACGGCGAGAAAACAACAAAAATTGATGACAAAATTGGTCACAATAATGTGGGGAAATATGGATTTAAAATGACTTTTGAATACCGAATAAAGGATGAACGTAAGAGATCCAACGGATCGTTAAAGGAAAGGATCCATAGTGATGCATAGTTGGACACGCCACTCCTTTTATTGGTTGGGGCTGGAAATACAAAACATGGTCAGAGCCATGGATTCAAATCCGCGACCCTCCGCTTACCAGGCGAGCAACAATTGGTGAGTTCAATGCACATGAACAGTTGCCATTTTTGCCCCTACACGATAGAAAAGCCACTCATTCACAAATTTTCGGTAGTCAGAGCTATAGTCGAAGTTCAAATTTCCATTTTCTTCAAGATGCTCATTCTTTTTTATTTATTGGGTTTGATTCTTCTTGCTCAATCCGATTCTGACAAAAATCCCATCACTGATCCTTTCTTGGATCAAAAGATAACAGACCGTCCGGAAGATTCGTCTTCAGGAAGATTTAGAGGAAGATGTGTCTTATCGATTTCAGTTTCAAGTAACAAGTCGATAAAATATCTAACTCTGTTATGTTTGCAGCCAGATATTCAGCTATATTTCAGCCAGAACGAGGTCTTGGATGTGTTTATGAGGCCACGAAATAGGATCCAAGCTTTAGTATTCCCCCTTTAGTATTAGTATTATCGATTTCAGTTTCAAGAACTACTGGAACATATGCGCTGAATGACACGGAAGACTTGGAAGATGGTGTACTGTTGAAAACTTGTAGTTATTGAAAAAGTATGCTTTTCCACTTGGTTCATTTGGTTCAGACATGTACATATTCCTTTACTATCTTTACAATATCATAATTTGTCAATAACCTCTTGAGTATCTGTTTAGATTATAGAATACAAAAAAAAGCCAGCAATATAAAGAGAAAAATTTGCAAATATCAAACTTCACAAAACTCAAACTTCAGTAAGTTCAATTTTGTGAGTAACCGGTTTGCTAAAAAGATATTGTTTAACTTAAACTTAAACTTAAATGCTTTATTTACTGCAATGCTAGACTCAACTGTCAGCTCCGAGCCAAACTGATATTTTAGTTACTATTATTAGATTGTTCGGATATAAACAAGCGTTGCTAAACTTATTGTTGTGAGAGAAGCTTTTAAAACATCTCTTTCTGTATTTAAAAGTACGTTATCTTGCGCATATTTGGAATATTTTTAAACGGATAATTTCTTATTTTTAAGAGCTTTTTTCTTGCTTTAGATGACCGACTTCAAAAATCAATTTCGCGTCTACTTTACGACTTCAAACTGGGCAAAACAGTCGCGGAATCCCATCGAGATTTGGTCAAAGCATTTGGGAATGATGTATTGTTCGAAAGCCGATGCCGATCCTGGTTCCAACGCTTTCGGAATGGTGATGAAAATCTCGAGGATGATGAACACTCTCGTCAAGAATATCGTTGTCTACCTCAAGCGGTAGACAACGATATTTTGAGGGCTGCAATCGAATTGGATCGATGTCAAACGACGCGTGAACTTGCTCAACAGTTTTTATGTTCAAATTCTACCATTGATGAGAATCTCCACGCCATTGGAAAGACGATCAGATGCGGGAAATGGCTTCCTCACGAGTTAAGCAGTGCAAACGCTCGTTTATATCCGAACAACCTAATATTATTATTGAATAGTTTGTCTAAGCTTATGTAAATGTGTTCTCCCCTGCCTGTGCTTATCCCTTTCATCGCCGAGAAGGGGATTGCCTAGGAGGGATTGCCTAGGAGGGATTGTCTAGGAGTGATTGCCTAGAGTCCTTGGGATTGCCTAGGAGGACAAGTGAGGCTCTCACTTGGAGTCCCCCTTTCCCTTTCACTCATTTGTAATCTATTCGTCTTATTGTACTACTGTAAATAAAGATCCATATCTTCCGGGTCTATGCAACTGCGTTCAGGTTGGTCATTTCACAGCTCTCTAATTTCACAGCTCCCCTCTAATACGTTGAAGGAGTTGAGTTGGGTTGTCGGGGTGTTAGAGATGGCAGGATATCAAAAGGGATCCACTCTCTTTAACTCAACCCAAATTCTGGTCCATATCCGTTTACACCTAGGAACGAATACATCTTTAAAATTTAAACTTTAACAACAAATCTTTAAAATTCATTTTTTTACTCTTTTTGACCGATTAATTCGAAATTCGTCGAATTGTCACCAAAATGCTGAATCACTCACGCCAAAAAATTCAAACTGATAAGCTAAATCAAGTCATTTGACTCTTTTTCTCAATATTTTGACCAAATTTTGATTTCCATCATGAATTTCTGGAGCTTTGCGTCAATATTCTTCATACAGGTAGTTCTAAGAGCTTGAAAGAACTTGAAATACTAAGAACTAAGAACCAAGAACATACTAAGAACTAAGGACATACTAAGAACGAAATCGATTGGGATATTTTGTAGATAGCTTTGGCGAATGCTTTTGGCTTCCGTCAAAGAGATTCCGATGAAGACTATAACTACTGCAAAAACGTTTGTTTATTCATTACCGTATCATTTTGGGTTATAAATTGTTTGGTAAGCTATTCTTGAAACTTTAGAACACCTACCTTGACACTAGGTTTGATGGTGCTTTTCGATGCCGACCTTGCTCCATTTGTCCATCGGGACAATACGAACAGGTTCGTTTCTTCGTTTTCACTCAAATTGTGCTATTCTATCGTTTTAGCTCTTTCCTATAAAATTATCAATAAAACCAAAACATAAAAAGGTTTAGTCGCCGTGCCGAAAGGACAAAAATACGAGCTGTGGGTACTGCCATGACTTTGGGATAATTCAAAACGATGACTGGCGGTAGGGTAAAGCTATACAAAAGTTCAAAATTTCTAGTTTCGATTTTCTAGCCTAAATTTCTAGTTTTCTAGTTTTAAAATTTAACTTTAAGCTTTTTGCTAACCTTGACATTGACGCTAATTAGTTCTTCTTTCTTCATGATCTGTTCCAAACGACTTTTCAACGGAAACTGCAGAAAATTTCTTAGTTTCCTTAGTTTCCTTTGTCTTGAATGTCTTCAAAACCCTAAGAAAAAGCTTGCAAATACTGCAATATTGCAGTATTGCAAATTTTTGCAAATACTATACAATAAAAGTTATTTAAAGCATTAAAAAATAGGTACATTTCAGCAAAAAGTGCCTGGAAACAACAACTCCTCCACCGACCCCCAATTACAAACGATACTGCGGCTATGTGAGCTTTCAATCTTTATTGAATTGTTTTGAAATTTGTGTTGAAATTTGTCTCGAAATATTTCTTAAGTCAAATCACTACTTTTGAATGATTTCAATTGTTTAGGGCATGTGGTACAAACAGACTTGGGATGCGTGTCTTCAATGTTCAAAATGCAATTGGGATGAGTATGAATCTGTGAGTCTTCTTGGAACATCTTAGGCCGTCCAGAAAGTCTTTTCGTTCCTTTTCGTCCTTCCGTTTAAAACCAACGTCCTTCTGTTCAAATGTACCAATTGAACTACGGTTTCTTCCATTAGAAAGGCCAATTATTTCTCTGCAAAATAACATTAAAACGGGTTTAAAATGTCTTATGTCTAGAGACTTTTGAGAGCGTGAAGCTGCGTAGTCAAAAAGAGCGACGGTTCGATGCGGAGACTTTAGCTTTAGAAAAGACACACTTTAGCTAAGGAAACCTATCTTCGTATTAATAGATAAAAGATAGAGCACAAAAAGTTAGGTATATCGCCAAATTTTCAGAGAAATTGATTCAGCCAATATCTTTGTAGAGGCTGTTATCGAATTTTATGAAAAACAAGTTTTGTTTACTCTCGAAAACACGTTCACTCTCGAAATTTGCTTGAAAGTGAACCTAAAGTGACTTAAAAAAGATGGAAATTCAACAATAAACACTTTTTATTTAGAGAAAACCATTGATGAATTTGTTATTTTTCAACGGAAGTACGAAAAGGAATGAAAAAGCTTTCTGGATAACCTACCGTAAATACTGTAATAGTACCCCACCCCCATAATGACGGTGCGGAGCGATGCGTAGTCTAGCTTTGGACGCGTTTTTCTCGACACTGATTTATGCTACAATGCGCGCTTAGGTATCAAAAAATAGCCCTGAATTTCAGCTATTTTTTGATACCAAATACGCATTTTTTAAAAGTATGGGAGCTTTGAAAAAAATGAAATATTAGGTTGTTAACCCAAAAAGGGCGCTTTTTGTGCATGAAGGTTTTTGGAATAATTACAAAGATCGCATTCAAGATTTTCTTTGTTTTTCTGGTTTTTCTAATGACTTTTTACAATTTTTAATCAAATATTTTGGTTTAGGCTTCCATTCTCGGGAGCAATGCCAACAACAAATCGACCCGCCCCTGAAGTATGGCACAAGGATTTGCACCATCGCTATCAACAACACAAATCTGCCGCCGAATCAGCTCGGGAAATCAACGATTTTTATGGATTCAAAGTTGTGACTACTCGCACAGCCCAAAAATGGTTTCAAAAGTTTTGGAATGGCCGAACAAACATGAAGAGGAAGAGAGTGGAAGCGGAGGCCACAACAAGATTAATCGTCGTATTCTTTGGCAACGACTACGGCAAAATCCTGAAGGTACGGCACGACAACTTGATGCGGGTCTTTTTTCGCACGTAACCATGTGGAAATATTTGAAAAAAACCGGGCGCAAGTGGAGAAAGCAACAACAAATTCCTCACCGACTGACTCCAGCAATCAAAGCCAAACGAGCTCTTCTGTGCGGCCGCCTCTTGAGCAAATATCGTCATGGACGGCTTCCATTAGATACAATAGTAACACACGATCAAAGCTGGGTCTTTTATGATGGAAGAGTCGTTCGAAAACAATGGTTGAAACCTGGGCAAACTGGAGCTGCGGTCCCGAAACGAAACATGAACATGTTCATGGGAAGAAACAGATGTTATGTATGTACTGGTGTTCGCGAGGACCATTGTTTTGGCAGCTACTCCCAATCGGTCAAACATTTACCGCTGACGTTTATATTCGTCATATGCAAAGAGTCGAAAATGGATTGGTGACTATGCGCGCAAATGGACAATGGATTGGTCCAGTCAATCTCCTCGAAGACAATGCTCGCCCACATCGTGCCACAAAATCGACTCAGTTTGTGCAAAATACTCTGGGATGGAATCGTTTGGATCATCCCCCTTACAGCCCAGACGTTGCACCGTCGGATTTTCATCTTTTTCTCTCATTGAAAAACTTTTTACGGGGAAAAAGTTTCAAGACCGAAGCTGAGGTACGGGACGCTATCGACGACTTTTTGGTTTCAAAAAATGCCGATTTTTTCGAGAAAGGACTTAAGAAACTTCCAAAAAGATGGATGAATGTCAAAACCAAACGCGGAGAATACATTGTTTAATTATATGTTGTTGAAATAAATTGTTATAGTTTTAAAACAGTCATACGCAAAAAGCGCCCTTTTTGGGTTAACAACCTAATACTAAAAAACTTTTGCGACTACGCAACTGTACGAGGGCGGTGGGGTACTATTACAGTATTTACGGTAATAGCAAACTTGCTTCTACAGGCTTTTACATTGCTAACAAGCTTTCAAATTGAAGTACATAGTAATGGAAGTTTAGCTACCTTGCTCCAACAACCGTGACACAACTTGCGAGAAGTGCTTCGGCAATGTCTATTGGAAAAATTCGGATTGGCAGTAAGTTAATCGCATAGTGGTGTCAAGATCTGAAATTTTGTATCCTTCGAAAAGCTTTCTTGTTTTATTAGGAAAAGCTTCTGTTTTACAGAAGAAATCTAGGAGAAAATGCCGTGGAGTCGTGGCAACGTCACCCAGTTACAACTGGCATCAACTCTACGAGGACTCCTATTCGGTGTACGAAAATCGGTGAGTTTCGAAAGGAAAATTCGAAAGAAAATAGCTAAGACCAAGCCATTTTTAAGATAAAACGATAAAAATGAAAAATGAAAAAGCAAAATACAAAGAAAAACTTTGTTTCCTTTACAAAACTCAAAGTTTTAGCACCTACAACTGCTCGACTCCATTTGAGAACTTTGAGTTGACCGGATTGATCAGTTGTTACTTTTCAACACTCGTTCAATGGACTTTCATCGTCTCGTTGATCATTTTATCGTGCTGTTGCCTCACCGCCTACAAGATTTGCACGGTAACTTTTAAAGCTTAACTTTTTAAGCGTTAACTTTAAGTTAACTAGTGTGAAATTCGTGGAGGACTTGGTAGTTGTGAGAACTAAAGTCCTTTTTTTGCGGTTATTGATGTCAAACTTGGGTTCTTTATTTAAAACTTGATCTGAATATTATCGGAATTAAAACAATTGATTTGAAAGTGCTCAAAACAAACAAAAACTTTATGAAAACAGATTTAGAGGTAGAAAAGTAATGGAAAAAAGCGGAGTAATGTTTGAAGAGAGGAGCAATGGAAAAAATCGCCTTATAAAGGAATAATTTCAGTAATTCGACGAATAAGAAGAACAGAATTAGCTCAAAAGAATAAACTTTCAGAAAACGCTTTTGAAATTGTCGAATATTGAGATTCGAGTTGAAACAGTGCTCACACTGATATTTGAGTTGAAACAATGTTTATTTGGTGTTACGAAAGAAATAGAAACCAAACTAATTAGATAATTTAAATAAGAAAATAACTCACACAAAGATTAACTTAACTAGCTAACTAACTTAACTTTTACTCAAGTACAACATTTCAAATTAGTTTCAAATTCTAAGTACAAACTCGATTTAGAGCTGTTTCCGTCGTGAGCGATCCCTTCAACAGCAAATCGACAAAGTTCGCCTCTTGTCACCGGATGAACTTCAAGGCAGGGAAAGATATAGAGGAAAATACAAGAATAAATTACAAAATACAATTTCTAGGCTTAAACACTTTCTTTTAGTCCTCCAACAAGCCACCCAGATGATCAAAGAGCAGAAAGAAAAAAAAGCAAAGGAGAACAACTTTGAGAATCCGAACTTCCAAGAAACTGTCTAATTTCTCGTTTTGTCTTTACAACCACAGTCTTTACAACTTTACAACCAGCTTTAATTTACACATTTTCTTTTTGAAAGTAAATTTTGAAGTAAATTTTGAAGGAAATTTTGTTAACAAGATGCTTAAGAAAGTTCTACAAGAGAGAATTTTTGCTTTCTGGCTTCTTAAAGCCAGCTACAAACACTTACAGAACAAACCCATGATCTTTACAACTTTACAACCAGCTTTAATTTACACATTTTCTTTTTGAAAGTAAATTTTGAAACAAATTTTGAAGGAAATTGAAGGAAATTTTGAAATAAATTCTGAAACAAACAATAAGCAACTGATTGATTAATATTTACAATCAACTTCGCATCTAAAAGAAATATTCATTGACGTATATAAGCATTAATTCAAAAATTCATTCAAAAATTCATTCAAAAACAAATTCATTCAAAAACTCTGATGAATAAGATGCTTAAGAAAGTTCTACAAGAGTGCTTTTGTATGGATGTGATTGTCGTGGAGTTTGCAGCAAAAACTTCAAGATGTTCATCACTTTTCTCAGCAGAGATTCTCACAAGAATTCCTTTCATTCACTCACAATTTTCATGTTCTTTTCATTTTCATTTTCTTTTCATTTTCATCTTTGCCAAGTTACCTGTAAAAGTTGGTTCTTTTAAGCAAAAGCCTGTTGTACCTCAACTCCCCGAACATTTACTTCTTGAATTGTATACGGCACATGAGATTCTGAAATTATCGACCTAGATTGCTTCTCGGTTAGAAGTGCTGGTTAGAAATCACGAATTAACGAAATATTCTAAAGCTTGTCGCCATTTTTCCATAGCCCATTTTCTATTCTGCACCAATTTTGACTACAGAGAGTTCAATATTTATCGGAACCAATAGATCACTCGGTTTAAAGCTCGTTTTGTATAAATCTGTTGGAAAGGTATGCTTATTCCCACAGATTTGTGTTTGGCTGTGCTTTTGTCGTGTCTAATTTTTGTCGCGACGTCTAAAGGAGCGTTGTGTGGTCGTTAAATCATCATTTTCTTTCTCATAACGTTTTTTTTTGTGTCTGGCTCCTCCTCTATTCAAAGTTTTGCTGTTTTGAATAAGTTTAACTGTTCTATTCTAGTTTATTCTATTCTCTATCAATCGCACATCAATTGGATCTTTCACACGAACATATCAACGGACACGCAACGATACAATAAAATCTAATGTTAAAAAAGAAACAAACATCACGTTTAAGTCACTTTTTTTTCAAAAACATTGCCTTTCGCGTTGATGTTTGTCTAGAAACTCCCGTGGAAAGCGCTGAGGTCGGATAAATTGATTTTGCCACAAACTTGTTACTATTTTCTTGAAAGAATAAGAACTAAAATATGATTCCAACGTTTTTAATGCCCCATAAATTTGAAAACTGGAAAAATTTGAATGCTATCTAAGTTTGACTATCGTTTGTATAGCCGTTATAACCGCTATAGTCTGGACGAGCATTTGTTTTTGTTCAGATCTTTGGTCAGAATTTTGGTGATTGAGAATTTTACAAGTGTCAGCTGAACAACAAATTCCACACATGATTCTTGAACATTGTCTTTCTCTACATCTGGTTGCAGCACTCGTCACACATTGCGTCAAGGCATAGGCCCCACGAGCTGCTACAGCTGCGGCCTCTCTTCACTCGAAAACCGTACTCGGTGTGTAGTAGCTGAAATGCAATGAAGGCTATACAGCTCATAACCTAACCTGTGAATTATTTAATCTTACTTTGATTAACTCGCAGCAGGCCCGTACCCAGAAAAATTTCGGCGAAAATTGGGAAAAAATGGTAAGGGTCCCTCACATGGTGATTTTCAGACCTTATAAAATTTCGGGGGGCGGGGGCAAATGCCTCCTGGCCCTCCCCTCCTCCTCCTCCTCCTCCCCACCCCCGGGTACGAGTACTTACGAGTAAGTACGAGACTCACAGTAGAGTTTGTCGTATCTTCCTTCTCAATAGAGGCCACTACTTGAAGTACGAGGATAACGAGGAAGTAGAAGACAAAGAACGATTTGGCTATTTTTGATTTGGATCGGGGAGTTAAGCGAAATGTGATTGGTTCGAATTTGATTGGCCAGCTTTACGGTTGATCTTTATACTCATCAGGTCCAAAGATTAGGTTGTTATGAAACGGGGCTGGTTTTGACAAATCCGCAAACATCGGCGATACGCGGAAGGGGAACGAAGATCATTAGAAGCAAGAAGGAAAATAGAGAAGGCCAGTGATTTATTGGGATTGGGAAACTGTATTGGATTCTATTTGTCTTGATGGACAGCTCAGCTACCGTACTTTTTGGTGAAATTCCTCTTTTTTCGTATTTTTCCGCATTAAAGTTAAAGTATTCGTGAATCTTAGTGAGTCGTGGAGTGAGTTACAAAGAGTCTTAGTGAGTAGCGGGAAAAAAACCTTGTTGCTATATTGTTTTCGATATATAGAGTTTCTTACACTTTTTTTGCGTAGCTGCTCTTCTGAATTGTAGTTTTTGTATGGTAGTTTATCTGACAGTTCGTCAATAGTTTATCGACAACAGACTCCACACATGATATCTACACAGTTCACTCCAGAGCATCCAGTGGCACAGCAACGATCACACATATGCGACCAGCAGAGTATATTGGTTTTTTTGCATTTGGACCCTCTCTTCACACGAATACCACCCTCGGCCCGATTGAATACCTGTGCAAAAATCGAATAGATAGGTAATCCAGAGTGGAAACGGAGTTTGAATTTAACAATTCTCAATTGTTTTGGCAAGGAAATCTCAACGGCAAGGAAATCTGACTTAGAAACTAAAATTTGTTCAGTACCTATAATCCTAGTTTATCAGATTTTATTTATTTCCGATTACAATGTTTTACCAGAAACAAAAATAAGCGGAATTAAGTCTAAAACTGATAATAAAACTTAAATAAAACCTGACTAGCTAGCATAGAAAAGTTATTACCGTATTGTCTCTAATAGTAGTGCACCCCGGCGAGCCGAGTTGGTGACTATTTTACGGTTTCCAAGCTTTTGCAGACGCTCAACACTCTAATCCCCCACAAGATCTCATCGTCAGCTACATTTTCCGACCCCACAACGATAGGTTCTGATAAGTGGCTCTCGAGATTTCGAGCAATTTAGGCGACGCTCTAGGCGACGCTCAGGGTGCAATACTATTAGAGAAAATACGGTATGTGATTAGGGACGTGGTTCTCCTTATACCTTTTGCTTCTTTTCATCTTTGTGTGGCCGACAAAATTTGGCGCGAGGTTTTTGACTCTTAGATGATGCCAGGTTTATCAAAGCTATTGAACTCATGTAGCAAAGCAAAAATGTAGCAAATTTTCTGTAGTTTCTGAAATTTATAATTATTTTAGAAGAAGTCTCCCAGTTTTTGAGTTATTCCCTTTTCCGTATCCTCCAAAAAAGGCCTCTACGCTGCTGCTCGTTTTTTATAGTTTGAGGCTAAATATCTTTTGCAAAATGCATTATTGGCAAAAATATCGGAACTAAAATTTATTCAAAATTATGTAACCAATTATTTGAAACCAAACACATGACTTGAGTATGTTACAAAGCCTCGATTTCTGCTATTTTTTAAGGAGTGGTGGTGAAAATGGTAGTAATGGTGGAAAAAGTGTGTAAAAAGACTGTTTTTTTCATTTTTCTATCAGATTCCAGTTCAATTTAGCTATAATAAGGCCTTAGCTAATAATTGAAAACATCCATTCAGCAGCCAGCTTGATGTGCAACACAATATTCTAGGGTGAACCTCTAGATCACTTTCGGCGCAGAGGCCTTTTTTGGAGGGCGCCGCGGAAAAGGGAATAACTCAAAAACTAGGAGATCTCTTGTAAAATAATTATAAGTTTCAAAAACTACAGAAGATTTGCTACATTTTTAGATATAAGTTTAATCGATTTGATAAACCCGGCATCATCTACAAGTCAAAAACCTCGCGCCAAATTTCGTTGGCCACCCTCTATATTTTGAAATTGGTCCGTGCTTATGTTATATCTACTTGTATTGATTACGTTTCACTTTATGACGATTGAATAAAGTATGTTTATTATTATAACTAGATAGTGCTTAGTTGAGATATAAATGAAAGGTGAAAAGGGAGTTTTTAAGGTACAAAGACTCCCTTTTTCATCTTTTACTTAGATCTCGACTTCTAGGCCTCGGATTGACTTGTGCTAGGTTTCATTCGATTTTCCATCGAATTCTGATTTGTTAATCTACAATTTAGATGGGGTATTCGATAACAAGAGCATCGAGAAATCGAGCTCGAAAGTTGCTCACCCAGGGTAGGATAAAATCTACGGTAATTCCAGTAGGCTTTACTCGTACCATTGCAACTCAACTCTGAGACTGCCGATTGATTTAAAACCCCGAGAAATGTTATAATTAGCTATTTTATAGGATTTTTGAGCTTTTCAGACCTTTGAGTTACTTTGTTGCTATTATTTAAAGTTACTAATTGGAAGAAAAGCTAATACGATTCTCTTACCGTCAGATCGTCTTGCGTTGAAACGACCACTTGTACGAGGAAGACAGCTAGCAGACAGAGAATGATAACTTTCGACATTGTGAAGAGTAGGTAAGAAAGTGGTGATGTTATCGAGTTCAGAAGAGCTCCTTTTATAGTATCAAATCCAGTCGGAAACTCTCAGAAATAGGTGGGTGGACTAGCAAACAATTGTAAGGGAAGTTTTTCAGAGACCATCATCTTCTTCTTCTGCAAAAGAAGTACGCCTATGGGCCTGAAAGCTAAAAGAAGCTTTGTTCTTTTAAAATAAATAGATAGAAGGTTTTCCCGTACTTGGAGATCGGTAGATTCTTAGAGTCTATTCTGCAACTTCCAAAGAGAGAAAAACCTCGAAAATAAACAGACACCCACTCGTTTTTCCCGCAAAAAAAGTTCAAGAATCGCGTTCGAGACGATTTATTTAGTTTTCTTTTTCTAGGGCCCGCTCAGTCAACAACTCCAAGGGATCAGAAGATCAAACGGAAGGACGCATGAGTTTTTATTGGGTTGGTGAATTGAAAACTGCGGACTATTGTCATATGTGACAGTTTGAGCACTTTCTTCAAAAGAAACTCATTTTGGTGTCAATGGAAAAGTTGTAGAGAATCAAAAATTAGGCTTATAGCCAAATTTTCAGAATGATTCAAAAATTGGCTTTCAAGAAATGCCAAATTTACGAATTTTCACAAAACTTGCAATAAAACTTGCATTTTAAGCGAAACTACTAAGTGTATCTTTTTGGAAATTTGGCTATAAGCCTAATTTTTGATTCTCTACAACTTTTCTATTGACACCAAAATGGATTTCTTTTGAAGAAAGTGCCCAAACTGGGCTGACAGCTGACATCTCCAGTCCTCGATTTTTGAGTCTCACACTTGTCTCACACACAAACCAAAATCCTACTACGAAAGAGGAATCCGCAAAATTGCCTGTAAAATGGGCAGAAATCGTCAATAATAATGGAAACTATTTGGAATGAATTGATGTTTTTATGTTGAATAAATTTTAGTTCAAAGTCCCGCAGTTTTCAATTCACCAACCCAATAGTTGACAAAAGAATGGCTTCTGCAAGACCGATCAAAGCAAAAGAAAGACCAAAACAAGAGGCAACGACGGTGAAGTGATGTCAAAACTGGCTCTATTGATTTAGATGGCTTTATTGAATAAATCTGTTTGAAATTGACTCATTACTTATTGGCCAGATCCATTAGTCCAACAACAACAACAACATAGCTAGAGTCCAACAACAACAACAACTAACAACAGTCTCAACAACAGCTAGCTCATGTTTAGCTTAGCTATGCTATTAGCAAATGTTTAGATCTTGAGCTTGACTTTTCTTAGCTAAACTCTTAACTCGTTGGACTGATAAAAACAAACCGAATACCGTATTCTCTCTAATAGTAGTGTGCACTACCAATTTTTCAACCACCTCCTGGACCGCAATACTATTAGAGAGTGCACTACTATTAAAAAGTGCACCTCTATTAGAGAGAATACGGTATACAACTTTTGAATTGAAATTGTATTTTCTTTATTTTTTGAAACTTTATGGTTATCTGAGCAATGAAAATTGTACCTTTGTCATAAAGCAAAAAAGTTTTTATGATCCTTTCTTCTGTCATTCATTTTGGATCACACCTTAGGATGAGATTTGATTTTATTCTTAAGCTTTTATTTTATTTTATCTTCAAATGTTTTTATTTTAAATTTTAAATTAAAAACAAAACAGTGCCAGTGAATCAGAAAACTTATAAACCACAATAAAACGGTGAGACAACACAATTTGATTAATTGCTACTTTTTGTCAGAAAGTTTTATTAGATTTTGACAACAATATCGCTTTTGTTTCTTGTTTGTGTGAAAAATAAGTCTTAAGAAAGGAGGAGAAAATACGGAAAACTCTGATTTTTCTTACGAAATTGATTCGTACTTTTCGAATATCTCAATAAAAAGTTGTCTTTTTGAGTTAAAAAGTTCTAAACCGTGTGATATGTCTACGAAAATGTTCCAAAAAAAAGTGTTTTTCTTGCAAACAAGCGTTTCTAACAGATTTTAGTTTTACAGTTTACAGTTTTATAGAACAGAACGTTTCTAACAGTGCTCGAAGATTTGAGGCTCTACCCGCTAACTAGTCAGCAAATTATCGTAACCCAAAGGGCGAAATCGCTGGACTTTTTCGTTTTTACAAATTGAAATGAATTTCTGTTGCTTTAAGAATGAATGCAGTTAGATTGTTTTATTTCATTAACTGATCTTTTATCCCTTAAACAAAGCCATCCCTTTAAACAAAGCTATCCTTTAAACAAAGCAATCCCTTAAACTCAGCCATCCTTTAAACCAAGCCATCCTGTAAACAAAGCCATCCTGTAAACAAAGCCATTCTTTAAACAAAGCCATCCTTTCAACAAAGCCATCACGAAGTGAAAACAACTTTGTTGCATCACTCACTGAAGGAATTATCACAAAGTAAATTTGAAACAACGAGAAAAGTCCAGCGATTTGATCCTTTGGGTTACGATAATTTGCGTAGATGTTAGCGCGCAGAGCCTCAAGCGCGCAGAACCTTTTATTAGATTTTGACAACAATATCGCTTTTGTTTCTTGTTTGTGTGAAAAATAAGTCTTAAGAAAGGAGGAGAAAATACGGAAAACTCTGATTTTTCTTACGAAATTGATTCGTACTTTTCGAATATCTCAATAAAAAGTTGTCTTTTTGAGTTAAAAAGTTTTAAACCGTGTGATATGTCTACGAAAATGTTTAAAAAAAGTGTTTTTCTTGCAAACAAGAGTTTCTAACAGGTTTTAGTTTTACAGTTTACAGTTTTACAGTTTACAGTTTTACAGTTTACAGTTTTATAGAACAGAACGTTTCTAACAGTGCTCGAAGATTTGAGGCTCTACGCGCTAACTAGTCAGCAAATTATCGTAACCCAAAGGGCGAAATCGCTGAACTTTTTTTCGTTTTTACAAATTAAAATGAATTTCTGTTGCTTTAAGAACCAGAGAAAAGGCAGCGAATCGGCGCGAGATCTATTGTTCTGAGGCAGACTCGTAGGCTGACTCGTACCCAGGGGAAAGGGGGGAGGTAAGTGAATGAATGCAGTTAGCTTGTTTTATTTTATTAATTGGTCCTTTATCCTTTAAACAAAGCCATTCTTTAAACAAAGCCATTCTTTAAACAAAGCTATCCTTTAAACAAAGCCATGCTTTAAACAAAGCCATCCTTTAAACAAAGCCATTCTTTAAACAAAGCTATCCTTTAAACAAAGCCATGCTTTAAACAAAGCCATCCTTTAAACAAAGCCATTCTTTAAACAAAGCCATTCTTTAAACAAAGCTATCCTTTAAACAAAGCCATGCTTTAAACAAAGCCATCCTTTAAACAAAGCCATTCTTTAAACAAAGCCATTCTTTAAACAAAGCTATCCTTTAAACAAAGCCATTCTTTAAACAAAGTCATTCTTTAAACAAAGCTATCCTTTAAACAAAGCCATCCTGTAAACAAAGCCATTCTTTAAACAAAGCCATTCTTTAAACAAAGCCATTCTTTAAACAAAGCTATCCTTTAAACAAAGCCATGCTTTAAACAAAGCCATCCTTTAAACAAAGCTATCCTTTAAACAAAGCCATCCTGTAAACAAAGCCATTCTTTAAACAAAGCTATCCTGTAAACAAAGCCATTCTTTAAACAAAGCTATCCTTTAAACAAAGCCATTCTTTAAACAAAGCTATCCCTTAAACAAAGCCATTCTTTAAACAAAGCCATCACGAAGTGAAAACAACTTTGTTGCATCACTCACTGAAAGAATTATCACAAAGTAAATTTGAAAAAACGAGCAAAGTCCAGCGATTTCGCAGCGATTTGATCCTTCGGGTTACGATAATTTGCGTAGATTTTAACGCGCAGAGTCTCAAATCTTCGGGCGCTTATTCCTCTTTTGTGAGTGCTCAGAATTTTTTTATTTTTTCCCGAATTTCTTAGCTGGAGTGCAGACAACATTTTGGAGGATTCAGATTTTTGATCTGTCGTTGCAAGTTTTTGTACTTGTAGTGCCCCTTGAAATTTGGTTGGCTTGCCCTCGCCCCTAAAATTTTTTTGGGTACGGGCCTGAGGGTCGCTGGTTCGAGCCCTACTGACGACAAAATGTTCAACTTTTTTGCTTAGAAAGGCGTCAGTTTAAATTTTTGGGGTAATTTTTGCCCCTGATCCCGAAAAACTTGTTTTTAGTCGAGGTTTTTAAGCGAAAAAGTGACGAAACGTTATTTTTGCACTTTTTACGGTCTGACCATCTCCACTAAAACCTCTGTTAAAACTCTAAAACGCAATGAATCAATAAGCGATTTGTTTTTCATTGAATTCGCTTGATGATTAGCTTTCGAACGAGGCTATTACACGTCCAAATTGATTGAGAATATCTCCCAAAAAAAGCGCACAAACTTTTCGTTGAACTTTCGTTGAATCCAAGAACAAACCTTGAATATGTCGGCTAGTTTTGGCTTGGCAGGATGTCGAGTTTGTACAGAAATACAGCTAAATGTAAGAGAAAAATTAATCTTAAAAATTAACCCAAAAATTCGGGCATAGTGACGCTGTGAAAGCGGGCAAGTTCAGTTGCTACTTCCAAAAAAAGGAAAGCACTATATATCGGACGGATTTGCCAGCTCGCGAGCGATTAGCACTATATATTGAATGGGTTTGCCAGCTCGCGAGCGATTAGCACTATATATCGAACGGGTTTGCCAACTCGCGAGCGATTACAAAGGACACCTCGCCAGTCATTTACATAGGGATTTTTGCATTTAGATGTTACAAAAAGCGGAGATTGTGCTGGAGATTTTTGCCCAGGGGTTTTCGAGGACGGAGAATCGAAAATAGCTATTTATTAGGGCAAAATGATTCCCAAAAAGCGGGAAAGTTTATGTTTTGTGCCCCCCAGGGTTTTCAAGATCGTTGAACCCTTTTTTTGTTGCTCTCTCTTTTGCCAATCAGCCCAAAAACAATATCTAGATTTATGTTTTCACACTGAAACCTCAAAGTTTAGAGCGTCCAATAATTC